CACCTTCTTGTTTGTTCGCAAGATGTGATTTCTTCCATCTGTGCAGCTTACACATCACCGAACGAGGCACTCCGTCCATGGTCCCTGGGAGGGAAGACCCTCCATGGTCCATGGGAGGGAAGAGTGTCCCTTCCTGAGACTTCTGAATCCCGCCGGTGCAAGGCTCGCCATCCACGAGAAAGGCATTCCCTCTTACAGGTGTCCTACCTTGTTCGGATCCTCCTCTGCCAAAGGTATTTCTGCTAAACGGTTTCCTTCTTTATGGCCTTCTCCCAGGTCTGCACTCTCAAAAAGAATCCTCCATGAAACAGGTACACCATCTTCTCATTGATTCCTTCTGGTTGAAGGGCAATCCTGGCACAACACATTACAGGCTGGTGCATGCTTTGTTCCTTTCAATTGACTCCCACCGTATTCAGAAAGCCAAACCACACTTGCCAGAATCATAAACACTTAAACTTCAACTTCCTCGTTGACAATCCTACAACTATCATCAACTATCCACTGTCAACAGTCCCTTCGCAATGCAACCTATGACTGTCTTTGAGACAGTGAACATATTATCATTGTCCTCAAACAAGTAGAAGATCGAACAAGCTCCTTTTATTGGATGTTCTTCCTGCGACGTACTTGAGCATAAGATAAAAGGAAGAACATCGATCCGATGTTTACACCCTGGACCCTAAGATATCCAACTACCTCCTGGTTAGGGTGGTTTGGGGGGGTCAGTCCCTACCTTCCGAGGATGTACTTGGAGCCCTAAAAATATAGAGATCCTTGATCCAATCTTTGCAGGACCGTCACAAGACTCCTCCACTTGATGCCCAAGGTGCTGTGAGATTGGATGAATTCTGGCACACACGTCCCTACGAAGCTGGAGGCTTTTTAACCCTGCTATGCAGGGGTTTGGACCCTCAAAACCACTGAGGGTCCTTGATTCTTAGGGCTTGATGTCTTTTTGAATCCGGAAGCTTGCTTAAAGCCTTGAAGCTGAGGACCAGAACCACCAAACATGAGCTGAACAAACGGACTGCAGACGCGGCCTGAAGTTTGGGTTTTCTTCGTGTTTGCTTCACTCGGACAGAGCCGTTTTTCATTGACCCAGCAGCCTTCTATAGCAGAAACCCTGCAGCCTTGCATAGCAGACAACCTCCAAAGTGATTCAATGACTCACCAGCTGGCCCCAGAGGTCTATAGAGAGACTGGGCAAATCGTCGAAGCTCAACTGGCTGACGTGCCCAACTGGCTTCGTGTGAAGTGTACAGTGAATCAGTCTGTTTGGTTCTTGTAGAAACGAGACTGCAGAAGTCTGCATTTCTGCACCACTGTCACACACCAACGGACCGTCTACAAGCTACGTAGTCATGAGGGAAATAGCGTGTAGACTCTTGAGGACCATACACCCCCCCACTTTGAATTGAACATCCTCTTCAAAGGGGAGCTTGATGGTCCTCAAGAGTCTACCATTCTCTCATTCCACTCCATCCGGCCCACGATCGCCTCACGTGCCCGACCGTCCTGCCAGAGCGCAACACGTCCTGCGCCACGTCTTACGGAGCGAAGAACTACATGTTTGGTACAAGAAGGGATGTGTCCTCTAGAAGTACCATGAATGGATGGCCTTGTGTTTTTCACCGGCCGGAGAAAAGAGAGGAACACATCCATTTTTTAGGGATCCAGGAGGTTACCTCCTCAAAAGGTACGACTGGACCCCTCCTGGCACCCACCCCAGTCCCACCTTCTCACAGGGTACTTGGATCCTTAGGGCATGATCATTCCATGAATTCATGACTTGCAATCTGACCATGGAGGCCCCATCCTCCATCGTCGAAAGGGCACGATCCCGGCTCGCCTTCGATTCGCCACCCAAGGGGAGCACAAACATCGGCCTTGGCGCGGCGCACGAACGCACGGGCGGAGCGAGATGTTTTGCGGCGCCTACAAGCCAAAAGTCTCCAATCACCGTACCTCAGGTTCGGTATGTGGATCCATATCAATACCTGGAGTGTCTGGGGTAGGGGTCCAGATCTGTCTGTGGCACCAGTTTTTGGAGCGGGGCCGAATGTGAACAAACACCACTTGCGTCCACTCCACTTGCGTCCAGCCTACCGCTGGTCTGCCAAAGAAGGGCTGCAACAAGGGCCCTTTTCATTTTCACCTGTACGGAATGGACCAATGGATGACGACTTAATAAACTAATTACAATTATAATAGGTTGAGAGTAGGTGGCACAATTGTCCCATGCTGGTGGTGAATATGGATCCCCCATGTGTTCAAGACATCTTGGGGTGCCAGTGCCATCTACTCTGAACACAATAATGGAACTAGATCTGCATGCATGATCACACATGTCTTTGCAGAGTCCAGCTATGGCTATAAAGTCCCATGCATTCCCCGGTCCACTGCTTTGGGGGCGTCATAGGTGCGGCAGTTTCCCTGTCTTGCTGGCCAAATTCGATTGAAGACGGATAAAAGATCCGATCTACATACCGTCCAGTCGGGACGATTGCTTCAATATGAGCCGCTCTACAAGTGGTAAAACCTGGTCATTGACCTCCTTGAGTAGTCATCGTCTCAGTCTCTTGATCGAACCCCCAAAAGGTAGGCAGCTTCTCCACCCCACCGGACCCTTCACCTCGCCCATCACCCCATTCAGTAGGGGCCAGGTACTCAGCGGACGAATGGACAGCATAAACCCCTGGCGTGGATGTGAAGCATGTTTCAGGGCCTTTCATCGGGCAAAACTGGGATTTTGCTGTTGAACAGGAACAAAACAAACCCACTCCATGGGACTGGCACATTTACCTATTGGGGTGGTTTGAGGGGTCAATGTAATAGGATGGGATGCACCCAGTCACCTGCAAATCGCCAAACCCGGAAAACATGTGCGGTGAAAACGGTCCCAGAACCGACTGATCCCACAACTCTCCACCATTATTGCTGGATCAACTTGCTTAGCTCTTAATGTTCTGACCCTAAGGATCCAAGTACCCTCTGAGAAGGTGGGACTGGGGTGGGTTTGGAGGGTCCAAGTACCTTTTGAGGAGGTACTTGGATCCCTAGGGTGAGATTTCAATGATTGCTTGGCCAAAAAGGCTGAAGACATGATGTTCCATGATTTTCCTGTCTAAAACGAACATCACCACCAGCACCAACCACCACCGTTGACCGGCCTAAGCTAATGACATCCGTTGCTTCCACGGTTTCCGCTGGATCGGAGCCGCACCTGGCTGAAGGCGATCCGCTGCCTGGGTGCAGGGTATACCACGAGCGATCCGACTGACCCGTCACCGGCACGAGCGATCCGACTGACAAGAAGCGATGGCCTCCAAGCGGCACGCTTCTTGCGTCCAGTCCCATGGAGTGTCTGGGACTATTAGACTATACCTTAGGAAGTCCATTTAGGGTGTATACCACGAGGTCGTTTTCTTTCGAACTTGGTTGCATCAATGGCTGTTTCAACACATCGTCGTCGACAAGTTCTTTGACCCGTTTCTTTGAGCCGCTTCTTATTGGCGATTTTTTTGAGACTTCGACATGGAATACCCAGACCATCCCAGACCAATACATGGATGGGATTAGTTACACCATGTTACACATGGATGGGCCATGATGGGCCCTTTTCGTGAGCCACGGACGGCAGTCGATACCCCATCCCAGACGACGTGGTTGTTAAACAGCGCGAAGAGAAAGGTTGGTCTAGATCAGTCTAGAGTCTGATTCCTTCACCCCATCCCCATCCCATTTAGATTGTAAGAGCTTTTTTATTAATGAGTCTACATGAACATGTCAGCAAATGGCCCCACCAAATCCTTTGCCAGTAAGAGGCCATGGTCGCAAAGCCCGCCAATTGGTGCAAACGCCCCACTCATCAGGTTTGGGCCAAAGTGGGCGGTCGTGCATCTATGTCGTGACTGCATTTGGCGTCCCGCGTCCGTCATCGATACTTTCTCATTGGATACTGTTCATCTACAAAACCCAGAGTGGCCTCGCCCACCTCCTAAACACAGCTTCACCATGTCGCACACGACCCGGTGCGTGAAAGAAGGGTTGGAAGCTCCTGTACTCTTGAACAAACCATGCATGTGTATGATGGAATAGTGATTAATATAGAGTCCTTTATCACCCTTCAGTTAATGCTGGACCCTGCATTGCTCCAGTGCCGTTGAGTTGCGGTAAAAAACATCATTGATGCAACAAACAGATCCCCAAGGGGAAAACAACCACACCCTTGTAGCATGCTAGCATCTTGTAGTCTGCAAACATCACCTGCGGTTGTTCCTGCCTTCTCCTGCAGCCTTCTCCACTTCTCGACGCTTCTCCACGCTGCACATCTCTTCTCGAAGGTGGAGTCACTTCAGGAAAAGCCGCTTCGGTGCATCTCGCGCAGCCACGCGGAGCATGGGGAACTCTCGCAGTCATTTCGCAGCGGTGGGGTGCGGAGACAAGTCCAGCTTGAGCCATTTAAGGAAGCTCTCTAGCCCAGCTTCGGATGCATCTCTTGGTCCGGGTTTCAACGATATCCCAGCAGATCATGACCTGTGATCGTGGTCACAAACGACAAAAGTCATGAACATCAACGTCTTGCCTTTGTGCGAACGGCCAAGCGAGGGAGCTGTGGTTTCCCCATCTGCGCAACATCATGTTTTCACATCTGCGCGGATGTCGCTCCAGCAAACCCAAGAGCTTGCCGTGTGCCGCTGAAAAAGCCCCTGGATGTGCCAGGATGTGCTTCCCAAACCAGAGTCGGTCACTGGGGAACTGGCTTGGAGCCTGTATTTTGGAAGGTGAATTCAGGCTGAGGCGAATCCTTTGTTGCGATCCGATCTGTTCTTCTGATTTAGAACCCATGCTTCACAATCCCACAAAACATCCATTTCTACGGAATGACGACGTATACAGGTCATAGGTCATAGGTCGTAACTCTTCCGTCTCCTTCTCTGAGACGAACCAACGAACGTCCGTCCCACGTCCAACGTCCACCGTGCCGGGCTGTGCACCGCCGATCACGATCATCACGGAGGAGCCAGGGCAACGCTTCAAGTTCTGGTCGATCGAGTCCTGGCGGCGGCGGATGCGGCCCACAGCCTTTGTGTCTCAGGCAAATGCACCTCGGGCAACCAGGACATCCAACATAAAAGACACATAATTTTCAGAGAGTCTTTTGGCAGAGCTTTGACCTTTTCCTAGGGGTATCTTTTGCACATACTTAGACTTACTGGGTATTAATGAACTCATTATATAAAAGTGTGTCGACTCAAAAAGGGGCAATGGGCATCATGTATTAAAGTTCTACAACATGTTTTGGCACTCCTTGCAAATGTCCACCTCTACCCCACTCAGGTTGATGAACATTCAACACTCATGGTTTTCCAAGCAAGGGATTGGTCAGCTCCGAGTCCACCAAAAATGGATAGTTCTGTTGCAACATTTGGGTTCAACAGTGAAGCACATGCAAACCACTCGCCCCACAAGGACGGTGTCTCCGTGGAAAAAAATCGTCTCGGTGTCGGGTCGTTCTGGTCTCCTTGCTCACACTGTTCACCCCCAAGCCCAGCAAGTATTCCCGGAAGACGGGGATCCTGGTCACACAAGAACACAGGCACAGGGCACTGCAAAAGACACATCAAGTCAGGTGAAAACAAAGTGCGTACACTTTAATTACAATCTTAAATATATTTCATGATGCCGCAAACTGTACAATGCAAACACCGTTGACAGCAAGTTGAAAAAGGAGGTTCCGTCTACATGACGTACGTCATACAGTTCATGGTACTTGCATGTACTTGCATAACCATTTGCATCTGTATATCTGCAAGCATTCCATCTCTGCAAGCAATCACCAGGCATGAATCGTTGTTTTGGGGGTGACCGCATGTCAAGGGTCTCCTGAAGTTCTGCTGCAGTGTGAGCAACCGCAGGTCGATGCCAGGGAAAAGCTCGCTGAAGCCGGTCGCCTCAGTTTTTGTCGGCGAGCAGAACGGGGAAGCAGTCGTCGCGTCATGAACTTATAAAACCCAGACACTCCATGTATGCCTATGCCTATGCCTACATTGACCCCCAGTCAACCACCCCAACTGATCGGCATATATGGCAGTCCCATGGAGTGTCTGGGAAATGGTCACAGAAAAACAGGACTCCAAGAGGTACAGGACCACGTTTTACTGAGTCCGGTGAGCAGGGAGACTCTTCAGACTACCTGGACCCGACTTCAAGGATAGAACATGGCACATGACCCTATAAAGACAGGTACGACTGTACCCATTGAACCCGAGGTACGAGTTCCGGGTCGACTCCAGGATACTCCAGGTATACGAGCGCCAGGAGGGTTCGGGTTGGTGGCTTCGGACGACCTGAACAGGACCTGCATACCGGTCCAAGACGCGACCTTCGGGGTTGGGTGTGGGGAGGGACCACACGGATACGAAGCCGTTACGGCGAACGGAGTGAGTTTCGGCTCCAAATCGGGGACGCGGTTCTCGCGCCCCACGCCAAGGGTCCGTCGAGAGGGTCCCGTCCAAGACTGGAAGTCGCCAGCCAAAAGGGTCACCCTGCAAGATATGAGTCTTTAAGGCCACCAAAAGCTCAACGATTTCAGCAACCTCTTTGGTGGTGAATCGACTCAATGCGCAAGGCCCTGTTCGCGCAAGAATTCCTCGATCAACAGCTGCGGAGATCCAGCATGATGATTGATGATTATTTTGGGTGACCAGTGACCAGGTGGTGTAGGATGTCCTCCATCAACAGCAAAGTTATATGCCCTAGAGCTCCTGGCCCATATCCTCAGTTTGGTTAGGCCCCCGCTGGCACCAACCCCAATCACCTTCAACACGGAGGCAGGCCAGGAGTCCTAGGGATGGTATCTTCTCACCTCACTTCCGCTGCAGTTCCGCTCCATCTGATCTCAATCACCACCCGCCCCATCCGGCCCCATCCGGGGCCTCCGTGGCGAAGTTGCAGCAAGCGCCCATGCTGATGACCTGGGTATTGGAGAACACATGAGAACACACTGCTACGGTCAACCCTGGGGCTCCATCCAGTATTCTGTGTTAGAAGGGCACAGAATAGACCCGACTTAGACCCTCTAGACGACTCACAGGAAACTCATGAGAAACACCTTGTCAGGTATTTGGAGGCAAAGAAACATAACAAACAACAATCATGCCGCTAACATTCTACTTGGACCATCCAGAACTTGAGGCCTCCCTTCCTCGGGGCCTCTACATGTGGGACGTGGAAGACATGTTCAAGGCCAAGCCGGGCCTTGGAATATGCAGCCTAACTGGCTTGGGATGATTGACCATCATAGCTCAGGCATGATGATGTTCTGGTGATTGTCGATGTCTGACATCAGCGCAAAATGTTTAAAAACCGGTGCAGTGGTTCCTGACCAGCCAGGAGACGCCATGTGGGTGGTAGCCGAAGATGTAGTTCCGCTTGGGATCAAGCTTGGCAGTTCTTGTCAAGGACATGGGGAAGTAGGCCTGTCAAGGGCAGCAGACGCCCATGGCAGCAAAACAAACCGTGCAAAAGGCATTCCTATAGCGATCCAGTCGTACCTTCTCAGAAGGTACCTCCTGGCACCTACTGTACATCACAGTGTCTCCAATCACCGTAGCGGGTACGAAGGTACAACGTCCTGGATCAGGGATTCATGGGTGTCCTGAGACTCAAGCATGTGCCTTCTTCGTACTTCTTGGGTGTTTTGTTCTGTGATCCACGTGGCGTGGAAAAACACACACACACACACGTTTGACAACCTCTGGAAAAAAAGGAACAGCTTCACATGTTTATCAGTGCTTCATCCAGGAACACGGACAAATTCCGACAACAGACTTTAGACAAAACAATTTGACTTCTTCCAATCAACACACACACATCACATCCACATGAAACACCTCCTGTTCCATCCCTCTGATTTTTCACACCTCTTCATCTCCACTTGGTCTCTATCTCCCGGTCTCTGTATTAGGTGGGAGGCCATCGCTCTGAGGTTGGAGGCCATCGCTATTAGGTTAAATGCTCTATTAGGTATGGGAAGACATGCGAAACGATTTTTGGAAGAACCAACTCTCGCCATCACACCCTAAGCTACCACGAATGTACATGTGTGTCTCTCTCTCTCTCTGACCGCGGTCTCTTGCGCGACACGTGAGATCCGAGCCACCGCGAAGTGCTTCCAGAAGTTCCGCCGACGAAAGGTGGGCATAAAGCGACCCCCTGGTGGAGGCAACGCACGTGCGGTTGAGGAGTGGTGTCCGTGGGGAGCCGTGGGAGGTCGAAGAAGATGTTGGATTTGGGTGGAGCGTCGCATGGGAGGTATGAAGATTTCATGGAGATTCAGTCTTTACATGTATTTTTTTTTGTTAACCAACTTGAGAAATTGATCGAAGTGGTCATTCCAGAAGGATCCAGTGACCAAGTCGCAACGGCTTGACCCATCAGACGGCCTGACACAGGACACCTCGGGTCAACAAACAAACGAGTAACAAACGAGTATGTGATGTTCGAGCAGTGTCAGGGATCAGTCCCTTAGCCGAAGCGGTGATGGGAACGGATCTCAACTGATCTCAGCCGATCTCAGCATGCGAAAACGGTGTTCAGAGGTGATCTGTATGGACGTTCCGAAGCGGAGCTGTTCACAGTTCAAAAGGTTTGGTGATTCTTCGAGACTACCTTTCAGAGTTTCCCCATGCGAGTGAGAAAGCTCAACATGCTTCAACTGTTTCTCCTCCTTTATCCCAGTGTATCCCAGTAATTGCATGATCTACGGAACCATAGGTCTTCACTTTGGTCGGTCCATACACTTTGGTGGTTTGCTTGGGATCCACTGTTCGTTCTCCGAGGCTTTGCTTGCTGATCGAAGCCATGCAAGAAACACAACCACAGACAGCTTGCCCAAGCCACACTTGGATTTGCTTAAGGAGCCGAGGAGCCGGTAAGAAACCAACATAAAATATATTACCGTGCTAAGGCTGGATCGATTGGGACTGGCCTCTGAGGTGAGCAGTATCCCAGAACATGTACCAGGACACATAGATCGCGAAGAGGCTGCGCCCCCAAGTACCTCTGCGTTGAAGAGCGGCGCCAGAAGAGCACAGGCGGCTGAGACACGCGAGACCGAACGTTCGAAGGCGCGTTCGGCGCTTTCAGATCTCGCATGGCGAAAACGGACCCAGTCACCCATCAAATCAGGCTCCAAGACAGTCTGCCTGTTTGAGAATCAACCTGATTCCCGGTTTCTCCAAAACCTGCCACGCACTTCCCGAGTCCGGTCCAACCCAACGCGGCGTACGCGGGCTGTCGCCACGCTGGACAGTCGTGCGATCGCTGGACGGCACGGGCTGTCGCCACGACGGTCGCTTTTGGATTGCAACAAAACCCCACGACGTCAGATTTTTCAGTGTCACTCGCAAGGTCGTCTCAACACAAAGCGTTTCCGTGTTCTGTCATTAACAAAGGAAACGGGACAAACGCCCTCGAATCGGATGATCGGATGAGCCAGGTTTTGTCGATTTGGTTGCAGGTCCCAAACACTCGGGACTGCCATAGGACTGCCGCCCCAGGACGACCCCCTTGGCACCACCCCAATGTGGCATAGATATGGCAGTCCCAGACAGGTCGTGTCTGGGAGTTGTGTCTTCGTTTCATGAGCGACATGATCAAGTGGAAAAGCAGGCACCTCCTCGCTTGAGGCACCACACCGGCAAGACCGCTGCGCTGAAGATCTCAGCTTCTGGCTCAGCTTCTGCGGAACCCGGAAGGGATCAACTCAATCTGAGTTTAACCCAAAACAACTCGATGTATGATGTATGATTGAAGTAGGTATACCGGTATACCGGTATACCGTATAACTTATAACATAATATATATATATATATATTATATGATTATGTGATATTATGTGCCTACATTGGCCTCCGAAACCACCATATTGTAGGGAAAAATGGCAGTCCCACGGTGCGCTTGGGTACGACATCCGTCCTTATTAGATCCACTTCCTAAGACGGTGGGGTGCATTTCAAGAGTCATTAGCACTCAAGAATCGAGCGAAGAGTCAAGGAATCGCACGTCGCACGCAAGTCAACTCCAGCAGCGAACGCGCTTGGTTTGGCGCGGATTTAGCGGAGACTCTGGGGGAAACACAAGCATACTCTGGGGGTACAGCTGTGGGGCATTAGGGCTCAAGGTTTTGACCCATCGCCCAGGCTCAAGAAACCAAGTCGCAAAGAAGTAGATGGAGATCACAGAACGCACCTGCAATGCGGTAATCCCACGTGCCCGTGGCAAGCGGCCAGGTCAGGGAATTGTCAGAGCATCAAGATGACCAATGCAATCTCCGCCAACAAGATGACCAATGCCTTGTTTTTGACGACACCTCTTGGTTACCCTGCCTCCCACGGAAGTGGAACATGGCCCATCATTAGAAGACGGTTCTTCTGACGGGCCATCTTCCACTCAACACCGACCACGTCACGCCATGAAAACCCACCTCACAGCGCTCGGAGTTGCTCCAGCCCAAGCGCAGGGGCGAGATGAGGAGCGCGATGTACGCAGCCAGTGGGTAGATAGGGCGGCCCAACAGGTCGCACCACCTGGGGTAAACCCACGCGCTCTTAGAGCGAGCGTGCGCGGTCGCGGGGCCCGTCTAGAGCGGAGAAAGATGTGCGGTTGCGTCTTGGACGCGTGGTGGACTTTATGACCTATATGGCTTCAATATCTGCATGGGTGGTGTATTTCAGTGAATTTGAGCCATGTTCTTTAATGTTACTTCCTAAAAGCCGATGTCCGTGTGTGATATTCTCTGAGGCAGAATAGAAGCACCCCATGTTCAGGTTGACAAGAAGATTGTGTGTTTCCCCGACCCAAAACTTCAAGTAGAATCACCATGCAGTCCGTTACAACATAGCCATGACTGCATGACTGACCTGTTGCGAGACTCCTTTAGGGGAATGGAAGCGCTGTTGGCCCACGTCAGGCGGACAGTTGTTTGTGAACCCCCATATCAAGCCAAGCAACATGTACATCAGCACGGCCGCGATACCATTGACCTCAGGGTGGCTGGGGAGAAGAACACCTGTGACAGTCATCAACTCTGGTCTTGTGTTTGGACTCTAAGTGGTAAGACCACTACTAGGACCACGGGTGATCTATATATTCACTTCCCTGAGAGAAAAACAACAAAAATGATCAAAAAGGATGGTCTGACGGGTTGATTTCACCCTATAGGGCTCCAACCATATCCTCAAGTTCGGTGGTTAGACCCCCCTGGCACCCACCCCAACCATCTTCGAATCGGAGGTGGGCCAGGAGCCCTGGGGTCAGGGGTTCATGATCGTTTGAAGGACAGGACCAAAACCGAACCCCCAAAGACCGGTTCGATGGGGTCAGTGAGTCTCCGAAAAGACTTCGCACTCCACTGGAGTACTCCACTGAAGGCTCTCTACCGGTACTGCCGCTCTCGATCAGAACCCGAGGGCCCCCAGCGAGGAGCTTGCCGGAGGTGAGCTGCGGATCACTCGTCAGCTTCTCAGCCACGCGGGTCTCCACCTGTGCTCCGGCACCGTGCTCTGGCCACTTTTGGTTCGCTGGAGGCATCTTCGGTTGGAAATGGTTGGAAGACTGGTTGGAAGGAACACCCAGTACGCGTGAGGGTCGTGAGGGTCCTCCATCTAACGATGAACTGCAAAAATGCATGTGATGTGGTAGACTCGTAGACCCAAGGATTGTTGGATCTCCAACTGCCTATCGTCAGTGAAATACAGTGAAAGATCTGAGCTGCAAAAGCATGTAAGCACGGAAAGGGAAGATTGGCAGGAGTCAATTCATTTCTTGGGCTCGTTTGTGCCACCTGAGAGATCAAATGTGAATGATGTGAATCCCATGATCACCTGATCATGATCATCATCATCGTCGCCGTCATAATCTGTCCAGACTAGAGCTCCAAATACCTGATGAGAAGGGGGTGGGTATCTCAGGTATCCGATCATCCATGAGATCATGCTACTGATCATGCTATATATGCTACTTATCATGCTACTGATCATGCACTGTGAAACCATTGAAACCATCCTCCCAAACCATCCTCCCATGGAACACACTAAGCTCTTGTTCGGCTTCCGTCGGCTGAAGCCGCCTCTGCGCTCTTGCTGATCTGCAGCTGTGCTAAGACCGGATCCTGAACTCTCGAGATCCATCCAGATCCGGTGGACGTGGTGTCGAACAAGCGGCAAATAGCCGGTGCCAGCGGAAGGAAACGAAAAATAGAAGTAAAAAGAAGGAGAAGAAGAAGCATGTCGAATTTGGCAATTACATATCGTTTGAATGCTCTCTGCAAAAATCACGTTTGTTCCATGGGAGGTTTCTCACGAATGCCGCAACACGTGCCACGTTCAGGTCTACCTTGAGCGTCGCCGCATCGAACTTGCCCGTGCCGTCCTCGCAGCATGCAGCCAACGACCCGGAGACGGACAGTTCGGCCCGGAAATCCGGGACTGGCGCTGCTCGACACCGATGACGCCTGGTGAGAAACCTGGTGTACCCTGCTCTGGAGAGAAACAAATGCGCCATATCCTAGGACTTGGCCGATGCAGTAAAAGCGATCCTTCTTGGATCCCCTCTCAGCTGGGCTGGACGTCCGAAGTGGTTGGAACCCTAGATAGTATACGGCCAATTTCTGGCAGTCGGTCCAAATCAGCCCGAGTTTTGTCCGACTCAACTGTAGCTGTCAGGCTATTAGGTGGGACTTCTGGTGGCAAGTGGGTCAGTGTCCTGGCCACATGCATACTCCAGTCAGACGTGTCCTGGTCCTCTTCCATCACACGCAGCGGCCGAAACCCGACAGCACTTGTTTGGGAACGGCGACACAAATCGAAGGGCTTGCAAGCAAGATGTTTAAAAGGACTTTCTGGGTCACGTGCCAAAAGTGTGTATAGTTTTGTATAAGTACATTCATGTGCCTATAATACCAATAGAGATCTGTATGAGACTCTTTGACTTTGACTCCTATTTCGTCCAACTTGTCTCATGAAAGACTCAAGGCTGCACGCCGAGCCGCTGCGGCACCATTCGGCGAGGGGGTGCACATACGATGACATACGATGATCATAGGATGACATCAGCGGCCACAGGATGCATCTCTTCACTCCAGGTAGGTCAGTGGTGGGTCATTGGGGTCATGAAAGGGTCCTCACTCATGAAAGGTGACCCTCAAGTGCCTGCGCATAGGCTACCGTTGACAGGATCCTAGGTTCCTATATGATCCTTTGTTTGTTTTTTAAAGTAGAACCATGAATCTTCATCCATCTTCATCCTATATACCCCAAATGATCAGAACAACTTCCTCCGACCCCCAACGGCTCAACATAGATGAACGTCTGGGACCTGGGACGTACAGAGGTGCCATGATGCAAGTCTAGTCACAGAATGAAGCCCTATAGTTCAGTCATGGGCACGCCAGGCTTCCAAGTCGCCGGCACTCTGAAATTACTGAACAAAACGTGCTGCAGTGTTGATCAGGCATTCTTTGTGGCTCAGGCTAAAAGAAAAGAATCTAACATGCATGGAAATCCCAATCTGCCAGGCCCATCTTCTTCGAGTCAAGTGCACCTGACAGTCCTTGTTCATGTACTTCTTCACATACTTGGCCAATCATACAGTATTTAACAGTCTTGATGTGTTTGGTGAGACACTGAAGAACCCTAGTTCAACTATCCCATAGTCCCATATGGTACCCCACGGGTCCACCCCTGGGCCGCCCCGGCAGCTGTGGCGTCGCCGCAGCCGCGACCTGGTCAGGAGGTGACTGCGGTGAGGTGACGACGCAGGCGAAGCGGTGGATGAGAGAGCCACCTGCAGAATTCCTGCAGGCTTGAAGAGGCATGAAGAGGCTTCGAATACCAGAAAGGAGTGAAATCCATGTGAAATACCATGAATCTGGAGGATCGTTTCAGCACCTAAACTGCTAAACTGCTAAGCTGAAGAGATCATCGGTCATACAGCAAGTACATGGAGAAGGCACACATATGATAGGTGTATGCTGTCATGATTCTCAAGTCATCCTCCGCTAGAACCACCACACAACAATCCCCCGAGTGACGTCATGGACACTCACACGATCAGATACCATGCATTGAGCCAAAACATCCGAGAACGTCCTAGCACCTTCTTCCAAGGGGCCACCTGGCTGGACGTCCCAGCCCACTCCTTACAGGTCTCCACACAGGACACCCCCTTTGAAGGTCCAGGTACCTCCAGTTCCATGTCAGACCCCCAGACCTTCGTGGCTGGCGGCACCGAAGCTTGGCACGTCGACATCCCAGGAAAGTCTCTGGCGAACTGCTTCACTCCACGCGCCACCGCCGCGTTGGGCGAAAACCGCGCCCTGGGACATGTTTTGATCAAGCGACATCCAGCAAACACACCAGCTATAGTGACACCTGAATCCCTCCATGTTCCCTGGAAAGGAGAGAATTGAACGCTTTTCACCCAACGGAATCCAGTGTGGCTTTGAGTGGTGCGCCCGTTGAACCCCCGACTAGTCGAAGACTTTAAGACTTTCAGAGGGACCATGTTCTCGGATGTTCTCGGAGTCTCGTGTTTCTTCCAACCCCAGACGCGACTGGCATGGGACTGGCAGTTCGGACTGCCGCCCCAGAAAGACCCCCAGGGTCAACCACCTCAACTGATCGGCAGTCCGTCCTGCCCCAAAGCAGGTCGTGTTCGAGTCGGTTCCGTCACTGCATCCGTTCGAGGTCGGTTCCGACCGTCGCCACGGCCTTGCTGAATCTGCGCTCGGAAACGATGAAAGGCAAAGGCCTCGGAAGACCACGCGATGCCGTCGAGAGAGCACGAGACACGAGACGAGGCCTGAGGTTTTGGGCCTTCCGTGAACGCCGACGTCCGCCGGAGATGTGGTGAACAAACATAACCGTTGGGGGGGCTGGGATGGGCTTCTTTTCTTTGCATACCCCCTCGGAAAGCCAAGACATCTCAAGACTCAAACGGATCAAATCTGAAAGGGTGATTGATCAGAATGGCTTTGCCAAAAAATGTGCCAGGAGTTCTGGGTGGGAGGAGGCAGCTCCCATTTTCCCATGTTCCCAATACAGGTGGTTTTCACTTCCACTTCCACACGGTTCTTTCAGGGTGTACAAGTTGGGGGTAACATGTTGAAGGACATCTTCTGTTACAACCTTCGACCTCAGGGTCTCTGCCTACGGTGTCGCTCTATCGATGTTTGTTGCTGGTTGACCATGTTGACCAGCACCACCCAGTTTCGATGTTTGTTGGAAGGAATATACATCGTCAGTGGGGGTCTATCAACCACCCGACCTGGGTGTTGCCGCGTTGCTACCCTATGTAGGTTTGGAGGGTTCAAGTACCTTCTAGGGATGTAAAGATTGAGAACTACCGACCCCAAGCAAAAAAGTCTCCGAAGCCAGCACGATCAAACTCACAAGCAGAATCTTCCACACACATTCATGACAAACGACCGCCTCATTGTCCAACAAAATGAATCCTTATGAATCCTGACCACCACCAGCCTCATCCTCATCTCAGTTCTATCACATTCTGCTCCCACATAAAGGATACGACCACACTGACCACACTTATCTTGTGCAAGGAAAATGCTGGACCCAACTTACCCGATCCCCCTCCACCTGCAGTGCATGCCTTGATCTTCTTTCGAAGCCCCGAGGAGGACAAGGCTCGTTCCACCGCAGCTCGGGCCTCGCCCTGCGCGGCTCGAGCAGTGGGGAGGTGTTCGCTTCTGGGGTAGAGTGACTGGGACTGGCATACACCAGCGACCGGCGAGGAGTGGTTGAGGGGATTGAATGTGTGGCATTTATGGTATTTTTTGTCGGTCCAAGTAGCTGGGGGAGGGAGACTCGAAGACGAAGAGATCCTTTGACACCTCCGGCTTTCGTCGACTTCTCCTCCCTGAGGGAAGCTGCACGTTGAAGAAGGGGAAGAATTCCGGGTCCATGATCCTCCTGATGTACTTGGATCTTTAGATTCAATGTTACTACCCTCCCTCCAACAAACATGGAAGTGGAAAGCCCCCGGTTTGTATAGGGAGATCAATTTCAACAAATTAATCTTATTATTGTAACATTGAAATCGGGGGCGCGGGGTTGCAATCTAGCATGTGGTTTGAGGTTTTATTTAATTTGTCGCAACATCCTCTATGTTGCCTTAGAGGAGATGCACCACATCAAGCTGGATCAATTTCTGACCTATTTCTCCTCGACATCACAGGAATCTTGATCTTCTGACACAAATTGATCAATCAATGCTCAGAGGAGACATTGTGTCTAACATCGCCATCAGGTCCATGCAGACCCTGAGCGAAACGAGGAATTCCAAAGACACATGACGTCATCACTGCATTGCTCCACGTGCCACATGCCCTTTCATATCTCAAATCGTCGGGATAAGTCGATCTATGCATCCTCACAGGACATCACAAGAGTCAAATTGACATTCTGGGTCACTTTCTGCTCTCATTCTTTTGAGCTTGGGTTCAGATCTGTTCATGCTGTCAGCCAGGTCAGCTGTCAGAGGTGAACATGAGAAACATCATTGCTTCTCAGCTAGGGATAACTGTTGAGCGATCTGCATCCTTATGGCAAAGGTCCAATTCTTCATTTAGTGGGTTTGCCAGTTGTTCTGCAAGCCTCAAACGAAACGTGCTGCTTCGACATGCAACGCAGGACCCGGGACAAACACATGCTTCATTCTGCCTCAGTTGTTGGAGAGATTGGCATCAACGGAGTCAGATTCAAGTTTCTGACCAATCGCTCTCGTGCATCCTCACAGGCAAGCAACATCAAGCAACTCTAAAGTAGGATGTATACATGGTTTTTACCTGGAGGTGCGTTTACTTGTGCCTCCCAAATGAGATGAGCAGTGGGGTGGGGAGGTGTCCCCATTGGTTCAAACAATTGGGTTGGGGGAGGCGGAGATTGGAGATCCCGTGCGCCAGGCTTTGACTTGCATCAGTATAGCATCTAAGCCAATGCAGCTGCATTTGGCACCCATGATAGTGGTCCCGCATTGCAGGCTATGGAATGGACTGGAATAGCTGCAGTTGCACGCATGGTCCATGTTCTTCGACCCTTCCAATGTCTCATTTTGGTCGCAACACGCTTCTCACCAAAACCAAGGAGATCCTATTTGGTTCTGGATGTAATGCCAAACATTACCAAACTTTGGTGAGGTCTGCATGTGTTTTGGAATTGGAACAAGTACAATCCAAAGTCATCCAGCTTTCTAGCACAACTCTCAAGTCAAATGCTCAAATGTCTTTCATGCCCCAAATTTGCACGAATTAGCCCTACAGTAGGAATTGTGCACATGTCCAAGAAGCACATCAATTGGAACATCTCAGAAGAGTCCCAACTCACTTGCTTCCACATGGTCAACGCAGGACCGAGGACAAACACATGCTTCATTCTGCCTCAGTTTTTGGAGAGATTGGCATCAAAGGGGTCAGATTCAAGTTTCTGACCAATCACTCTCGTGCATCCTCACAGGCAAGCAACATCAAGCAACTCTAAAGTATGTATTGCAAAGCGCGGAATGAGCGCACACACGAACCTTTTGGGGCTCGCGGGAGGCTCAAGGCCTAGGTCCGGGTTTCGAACCGAGACATCACGGAAAGTGAACCTGTGACGTCCCACTTTGTTGTCCTGTCAGCTGTCAGTTCGTGAACGGTCAATCGCATGGTTCTTCAACTTTACATTCCTCAACATTCTGTGACCTTTCACGTTCTGGCATCTGGACATCGTGATGTGAGCTGCTTGCTCCTGATGTTGATATCAGGGCTTCAGCATTGATCTCATCAGCAAGCATCTGCATTTGTTGGCTGATGCTATTGATTTTTTCTTCATCTTTATACACGCATGTCGCTTCCCACATCACTGTCAGCAAAAAGTACTTCTTTTCTTTTCTTGTCATCTTTTCCCAGCTGTCCTGAGTCATGCCGATGTTCTTCCTTGAAGTTGCATCATGATCATTTCCGTGATCTTCCTCAAAACTTTCATCTTCGTCATGCGGGGCCAGCCGACCATCTGCTCCTGGCTCCACAAACAACTCCGGCACTGCGGGGTCTTCCAGCATGCTCATGACTTCTGACTCCGTTGAAGTCGCTGGGGCTTCTCTTCTGTCCTGCCTCTTCAACAGGATTGCTCGCTTCTCATCTGAACTCATGGATGGGGTTCGATGCCTTTTCTTTTGCCTCAGACGTTTCTCTAAGTCCGGGGCTCTTACTTCTTGTCGTTCTTGTTTGTATTCAATCCTGATCAACCTGTCAATGACTTTTGTGATCCTGAAATTGCTTTCTTCTGCAATGTCATCCATTTTCTGGTAGGTGAACCGGTTGCTGTCACCAATGAACGCTGAGACTTTCTTGAAATCCTCGTTGATGGCATGCTTCATGCGGTCCATCCCTGTCAACATGATGTTGTTTTCATTGAACATTTGTGACACACCTGCATGAATCAGCTCCTGGGTTTTCTTGCGTTCTTGGCCCAAAAGGGTAAAGATCGTTGATGTCTTTTCATCAAGTCTTTTCACCAGCAACACTATCATGATCACCATTCCACCCCACATCAACATCAAACATTCTGAATTCTGTGAAACTGTTGTCTTCAACCCGATCACGACCACCAGCATTGTTGTGAAAGAAACAAGTGCACCTTGTTTGTACAATGCAAGGTCCTCATACCACAAAAACCACTCCGTGTAGTAAGTTGTGTTGTACCAAAAGAGACCTGTCAGCACGATGATCACGCACGCAAACATCAACTCCCATGGAAACTGGGGCAGGATCGTCCTCACGTCCGGCTCGGCATTTGTAGGGAGGAACTGCTGTGCAAATGAAATCATCAGTACGGACTTCGCACTTACTCCGGGACTTGTGGATGTATGGGTTGTCCTGTTGGGGCTTGCTGAACTTTCATTCTCCTCAAGTTCAATCGGCTTTTGGTTGATCATCTCGGCTTCTTCATGGCTGGTCACCTTTTCTGGCTTTGGCTTTTCTTCTGGGTTTTCCAACTTCCGGCTCCTCGATGTCTCTGGCAATCTTGGATCTGGGCCAAGTGTCCACTTGTTGGAGTAGAGCACATCGTTCAAATAAGCCAAGCCTTTTCGGTGAAGCGCTTTTGTCAATGCATCTGCCAGTTGTTGCTCTGATGGCACCCACTTGCATTCAACACCTTCTTGCAAGCTTTGTCGGATGATTGCTGCCTCCAAGGACAGTCTGCGATCAGAAAGCAACACACGCTCTGACTTCATGCAATCATATAGGGACCTGCAATCTGTCACCGTGACACCTGGCACGCGATGCAAATGCTCCTTGTAGTGACGCATGTCCAAATCTCCATGCAACACTTCCAAAATGGTCGCTCTCAACCAACTGAAGGCATCAAGAGCTTCTGAGCAGGAATACGCTTCGGCACTCAAGGTCGACCGCACCACCCTTTGTATCTTGGATGATGTCCAATGAACAAAATGGATGTGGTGTACCTTCGTCCGGTCCTTGATCAACTCTGGGGTTGAAATGCCAAGCCAATATCCCTTTTGACTCTTATGACCTGGAAGATTGTTGAAGGATGCATCATGGACTGCTACCACTGCAATGTCTTCCGGTTGCCAGGCCATGCCTGGCCTAAAAATGAGCTCCTCTTCTTGATGGTATTGTTTGACTTCTCTCACCAGCTTTGATGCTTCTTTGAGACTTGACATTCTCAAATCCTTGATCTCGCTGGCAAGCTTGCTGACCTGGAAACCAATGGAATACCCCATGATCCGGGCATACCACTGCAACTGACCAAGTAGTCCTCGAAATGCCTTGGTTTCGCTTGGGGTCAACTGTGCGTTGTTGTCTTTGCCACGCTCTCGGCTGATCTTGTAGGTGCTCATATTCTCCACATACTCCTGAGCATGAACGTGAATTGTCCCATCTTCATCCTGGTGATAGGATCTGCCGCAGAACTTCAAAGTTCCATCAGTCCTCCATTGCCCCCATTCAACTTCTTCCTGCATTTGTTCTTGCATCTTCTTACATTCTTCTGGGTATTTCTTTTCATCCCATGCAATGAGGACATCGTCAACATGTAAAGCCAAAATGGCTATCACTTCTCTTGACGCTGGGTCACGAAGCACGAAACCGGCAAGCTCGAATGTCAAGCTTTCCCAGCCCAAACGAAGGAGGATTCCCTTGATGGAATGATACCATTGCCTTGCGGCATCGTTCACGCCGTAGATGCATTTCTTGAGCTTGAGCAAAGCACCTGGCTGCACTCCTGGAATCTGGGCCTTTCCGAGATTCTTTGGAGGCTCAAAGTACAGCTCACGGTCAATCTTCAGCCCTTGCAAAAAGGCTCCTCTGACATCAGCTGCTGTCAACTTCATCAGCCTTGATGATGCCAGGCTGCAAATGACCTGAACCAACAATGTTGAGCACGTTGGCGAATCACGACGGAGGTTCTCGTCGTACTCTTCTTGAAAGCCTCTGCCAACGACCCTGCACTTCAGCACGAGCTCTTCCTTTTCATTTTCATCTCTCTTTTCATCATCCTTCTTTGTCCAAACGCCTCTGGAGGAAATCACTTTCTCCGGGCTTTCTTTCCGGATTTGTTTGCTTTCATCCGGAGGCACGATGTCGATGGCATCAAAGCGTTGCCATGTGCCAACTTCCTTCTCCACAGCCTTTTGCATAGCTTCCTCGATCTCTTTGTCT